ATGGGAAAGACCTCAAATAAGGGGGAAAACATGAATAGGGCTCCATTCTCAGTAAGAGTTTGCTGTTCGTTATCTTTCTTTGTGGGAACTGGCTTCCAGTTCCCACTGAGCTTCTCTTCTACAAAGGCCAGAACAGAATTCCTGCCTCTACAAGCTGGAAGCTGGATCACTGATGGAAGTCAGGGCTGAAGTTCACTGTTATGTCTGAGGATACAAGGGCATCTCATCCCCATGGTCAATCCTAAGATGCATGAAATTTCAAGTTGCTGGCAAGTCAGCTTGGAAGGCAGGGGCTGCACATTTCCCACTTGCGCTCGGTGTTCTGCCTCCCTCGAGCTCAGGATGCACCAGAAGCCAAAATCCTTTGCCAGATGCCGCACTTGGTGTTCTGCCTCCCTCGAGAATGCAGCGGAAGCCAAAATCCTTTGCCAGATGCCGCTAGTTGGCTGCTACCCACCCCAGCTCCTCCCGGGTGGTTCTGCTGGTGCGCGGGTGCAGGTGGCCTCACACATGCAAGGCAGCGTGGCCGGAACAGCGACGTGGGGTGTTGCGGGCAGGGTAGCAGCTGAATGACTTCATCCCCCACCGTGAACACTAGATTTGAGAGGCATGCAGGAGAGCCACCAAAAGTCCTTGAATTTCCAAGGGATAGGCCATAACCCTCTTCGCTCCAACCTGATTATCTAGGAACTGCCGATGACAGGCAAATCACCAGCATAGCATGGCTTTCCATTGCGAAACATAGAAAACAATTTAGGGTAATATTACATAGCAATTTGTCTTCATCTTCGTGAGATAAATAAAAGAATGTCCTTTCTTTTGCCTACTCTATCCTGTGCTGAACACTTCACACTTTTGCATCAGGAAAGAGAGATTCCGCCTCTCCAAGGGTCATTGTAGAAGAGTAGCACTGCCGCCGCGGACACCTGCTGAATGTGTCAGATTACCCAGCTTCAGCATTTGTTACAGCCTAACACATAATGCCACTGTAAAATACTGTAGCCAGAAGGATCAGTTACATGCAGAAGGAAAATTGCGACCTGGCACACACAGATACACAATACTAATGATAGAAAATTATATTGCACATGGAGAATATAAATGACCTGGGATTGTGAAGTGGAATGTATCAAAATAACATACACATTATTATGTTATCTGATGTTATCACGAATAGTATCAGTTTTCCGACATCCAGTTTGGAAGTGTCAGGTTGACATTAAATGTGTAATGCTTAATCAAAAAAAAAAAAATGTAGGCCTCTTGCTGGTTCATGTCTCACAAGTTCTCATAACAGACAAAGAGAATTTTAAGTACATTCTGAATTTTATTGCAAATGAGTAAGACTGTGGTCACACAAGTAAGTTAACCTTGTGACAGTCTGAGCTGTCTCAGTTAAAAAGTAAAAAAAGCACCAAGCAGGTGCCATTATCTGTAAAAATAATGTAGCTGCTCCCCAGTACATTTTCTTTGGATGAGGCAGAGCTAAGTCTGTCTCATCCCCAGAGGGCTGCATTCCTCAGCACACCCTGCCTTTCAAACACACCTGCAGCCCTCCAGCGGGCAGCCTGCTTGTGCGGGGGCAGCAGCTGCCCCGCTGCAACTTGCTGCGTGTTCCAGCCTGCCCTCCTGCGCCCGCCAGCCCACGCTCAGCTGTGGCCTCCCATGCTGGGCTGCGCTGCCAACACTGTGCCAGGCTGGACCCAGTCCTCCTGCTGTCACAGTCACACGCTGGCCATGCCCGGCACGGCCCTGTCCCTGCTCCCCTCTCACCCTTGCGGAGCTGTTTCAGCTCAGTGACCCAGGAGAAAACTAACAAGAAGTCGGGAGTTTTCAATTCACAAACCATAGGCTGTGTCATAAAGGGAGATCTCTGCACCGGACACAAAGGTTAAAACATGTTAACCTTTTACAGACAGGTTAAAATAGGTTAAAAAATACAAGAGAGGTAGGAACATGGAGGAAAAGTAGAAGAACACTCTTCAAAAGCTGGAAGGAAAACAGGGTTTAGAGAGACTGGGGTAAGCAACAAGGGGAGAGGAAACCTGTGATGCCTGGGCAACAAACTAGCAGAGAATGAAAGCAGGAGTTGGGAAAAACTGAGAGTTTTCAGCAAAGAGACTGAAATAGGTGGTGGCAAGACTGGCTGTGGAGGCTCCATCACTGGAGACATTGAAAAACCATCCAGACAGGAAGGCAACCTGTTCTAGGTGACCCTGCCTGAGCAGGCGCTTACACGGGATGATTTCCTCAACCTCAACCACTCTGTGAGGTAAGAAATGCAGCTTATAAGAGGACTGGAGGCTAGCGGTAGTACAGAGGGAAAAAATGAGACAGAAGAGTTAGGATCCATTAGATGAGGGGAGCAGGACTGGAAGCTTTGACTTGGAGCTTGACAGTACTTGATTGCGCTATTTTGGGGGAGATGCTAAGGAATGAAGACTGGAACTGGCTGGATGTGGAGAGTGGAGCTGTAACAAGCTCATAGGGATGGGACAAAGACAGACTGGGAGAGCACTAGGAGACGGTCATGGCTGGGTAACAAGTGGGCTGGAGGACACACCTCTTCTGGGTGGAAAGGGAGCCCGAGAGTCCTGATCTGACTCGTTATCTTTTCCCCATTGCCAGGAAATATCTATGAAAGCTAATGCAGCGTTCCCCCTCTCCTACTGTTGCATTTGGAAAACGATGACCTGCTATGTTGCTACTATTCTGTAACATCAAATGCATGAGGACTATGCAGTAGATACTGAAGAGTTCAACTCCACTGAAGAATCACATGCATGTCACCTAAATGTCACATCACAGAATCTTTATTTTTCCAGTTTAGAGTTTTAAAAACTACTAAAAGCACTCACCTATAGGTGCAGAACTATTGATCAGGCATAAACATTTATACAGCGTGCACAGTTAATCTGTTCTAAAGATAGAGCAGGGCTGAGGAGGTCCAAGCACTTTTCTTGAAGAAATGTTTAGCTCTGTGCACAGCAGGGCCTTAGGGAATGGTGTGCTCAGAAAGGCAAAAGAGGCAAAAGGCTGTTTTCCCCCCTCATTAGAAGTAGGAGCCAGCTCTTTCCAAACACAGGCGTGATCTGCCCTTCTCAGAACAGCAACTTAGCAACGCAGAAGCAAATGAGCTCAAAAGGGCCCGAGTTGGGTCAATGTCCAGAATGACTGTTCCCAATGACTGTTCACTGGCACTGGATTTGGGAACACACAGTCCTTGCCCTTAACGTTTTCCAGTCCTAGAAACTGCTTGGCAACCAGACTTGCATTATGCTACGTCTTGGCTGAGGATGTTTACACTCCACTGATAAATACTAACTCAATGCATTGATAGGCTAGCAGAAAGTTAAGCTCTGTAGTATTTGGGAGCGAAGAGACAGAAATAACCACAGCTGTGGCATTTGCTGGAACCCGTTACAAGAGGAAAAACAGCCAGTGACAAATATTTGTGTAAGGCTCATGTGACTTCACTCGGGAATGAACTAAGGGTATGTAAGGTTTCTGTGTCACTGGGCAAAGGAATTCTCCATTCTTCTGTAGAGAAGGGAAACCTATAATTCAGCGCATCAAAGCGCTCCTGAGACAACACGGAGAAAGAGCGCAGTAGACAAGCCATGATTAGAACAAAAAGTAAATTTAGCAAATCAGTGAATGAAGGAATAACACTGTCTTTTGGATAGTGTTGACTTCCCCACTTTTCAGGTACAGAGAGGCAATGTCCTTGCTGTCTGATTTGCATCTAATACGTCAGCTCATGATGATTCAAGCCCATCACAACTACTGACAAAACACAGTGCTGTGCTTGTCATCATCATGATTTCACTGGGAAAGCCAGCAATGCCACAACTCCTAAAGAGCAGTGCACACACACGGGCCACGCGTATGTGAAAGGGGAAAAAGAAATCCAGACAGGCAAGATTTCTGGTTGAAGGAATAAAGGAATAAATATGAGAAAACAAGATACTAGCTTTCAAGCAGAAAATAAGATATTGCAGAATTATGGCTAATCTGAAACTCAGATATAATCTCCTTGCAAAATGGTAGCTGAAAAGTGCCAAAATGAGCCTGTTTTGACGCAAAATTGTACAACCTGCCAAAAGGAAAGGCTGGTGCCTGCCCAAGGCGCATGAGCAGGGCACATACTGGATGAACAGCCCAATACGACAGCAAAACCCCTGAAGCCGGACCCACAAGTATCTGCGCACACTTAACACAGGTTAAGCGAGGACTCGAGCAGCGCTCCCCCAATGCGACCCACGAAGCCCAAACAAGGCAACCCCCGCACTGCACGGAACACCGCGACCACCTCAGCGAAGCCGCCAGAAATAAACGGACACAACGGCCACGACGCCGCGCAGGGCACCACCTCCTCCCTCCCCGCCCT